CGGGCGCGCGGCGCGGAGGGGCGCCGGGGGGCGCGGGGCGGCGGAGGCGGCGGCGCGGGGGGTGTGCGCGGCCGCGCGGGGGGCCTGTGGCGGAGCGGGGTGGTCAGGTGCCACCAGGGGCGTTTGACAGGGGTGCAGGGGCAAATGATGAGCAGTTCAGCAAGTCATTGCATAAAATGATGCTGCCAAAGGCTTCCATTACATGATGCGCAAGCATGCATGCGAAACGGCTGCACAACAGCGCTCGTGGCGCCGGCACAGGTGGAGAAGGTGCAGCGCGTGAGAGGGCGGCGCGCTGCTTCCCATGCCTGAACCTGCCGCTTGCCTGCGTCGGTCGCCGCATTGCGGCCAGATGCTTGGGCAACTGCAGGGTACCGGAGCACCCTGCGTGAGCCCGGGTGCTCCCCCTATCGAGGAGCTTCATGTGCTGGATCGTTCCTTGGATCAGAGTGATTGCGTAATTATGTGCTTAGTGAACACAAAAACGATAACTTACATCCGAACAAATCGAACTGCGCACACAGCCACAGGTCGCGCATGAACCGCCTCCTTCGTTATCACCGCAGTTTGCTAGTAGTGATACCTGCCAGCAAAGGCACTCGAAACGCACATATGAGAAGTGATTCTTGGGTCAATGAGCGCATTACACGGAAGTGGGGGTCCATGCGAGGTGGCGGTCGCCATAAGGTGCCCGTTACTACCTGCTGGTGGCAGCGCGCTGTGCCACCCGTGCACTCGGGGATCTGAACCGCACGACAGCCCTGGACGATGTGCCCTGGACAATCATGATAGGTCCATTGTCGGTGCTTGTTCCAGGCACCTTGCACTGCTGATAATCCACCTTGCCACGGCGCCGCCTGCGGGATGTCGCGTGCTCAATAGGGTTGGCGTATGGCAGCCGGCAGGCAGTCGACTACCACATCTCATTGACCTGGGGGAGAGCCCGCGTGACCGAAATTATCACGCGGGACAGCCCCCAAAACGCGGTGCCCAAGGGCAAAACGTCATTTCCGTATTGACTTGACAACACGACACGCCATCACCCTGTCCCCTAATGCGCATGGCTCTTCCCTGCCACTTTCTTCGTACTGTTGCGAGCCCTCCGAGCAAGAAAACAATCACCCAGACTTCCAGGCACGATAGGGCAGACCATCCACCAGAGATACTACATACTCTGTCAGGGCCATTACCTATGGCTGTTTGGGCGTCAAGGCTCACTTGGTAGTCCAGCGTGACGGCCAGCTGTACGTGCGGTTCTCGCCCTGCTGTGTTGCGCCGCCCAGCAGCGATGGCGCACGCAGCAGCTGGCGCACAGGAGAATGAACCTGTGGGGTGCCAGCAGCCGCACTTTTCTGTAGCCATCCAGGCCTTTGGGCTGGAAAGCCTGCTGGGCTGTGTGATGGCCGGTCACCTGCTCCGGGTGGCCTCCTCGGGACAGCACGCACAGGGGCTGAAAGCACATGTATGTCTGCAGCACACAATCAGCAGGCACACACACAGGCTGGTGCAAACAAGGGGGCCGAACAGTGGTGCAACCCGGCCACAGACCCGAGTGCGTGGGGGCGGGAGTTTGGCAGCAGTGTTTGGCGTTGATTGGGGTATTGACCAAGAGCGACGGATGCAGGTGGGCTGCCAGCTTTGGCCAGCTGCAAGCCATGCACCAACGCAAATTGCAGGCACCTACCCCTCTCAACGTGGAGCACGTCGCTGCCTGGCGTGCCGTGTGTTGTGGTCGGCCCCTTCCTGCACGCACCCGAACAAGCCTCAGTCCTGCAAATCCAAGCGAGCCTAAGGCTGCAAGTTTTCATCTAGCTCTGTAACGCAGACTGCATATTGCCGCTTGCCTTGTCGCACACCGCGGGAGAGTGTGACCATAAGCCGGTGCAGCTGCGCCGCTGTCGAGTTTCACAGGCATTGCACGTCCCAAGTATTATCGCGTTGGTACACATGAAATTTCATGTACATGAGCCGTTATGATTTTGTATCGCAGCGGTTGCAAGAAGTAGCAGCTTGCCCAATCGGATATGAGGCTCTCGACGCGCGGGGAGCGCGCACAAACCACCCTAAATGAGGTGAATGACGTGAGGTGAAGGGTTGAAACACGATTGAAATCTACATTCCGAGCGACGCGTGACTCCACCATGTGGGGCTTGATGCCTTCAATTGGTACCATATCCTGAGCAACTCGCCCCACTGCTGCAGGGATACGAGGATGTCGCAGTGTCCATCATATCAGGGGACGGTGCCCGCGCGTATTGCGACCAAGAGGGCGGCGGCGGCGGCGGGTTCCCTGCACATAGCGGTCGGCCTGGCGGGAACGGCGTGCTGGCCAACAAGGATGTTGATTTCGGACCCCCAAGCCCTGTCCAGCAATCGAAGGCTTCCAGGCCGCGCTTCAACGTGGACTGGGACAAGCTGTTGATGCGGGGCTTCCCGGTGCGGCGCACGTGTGCATAACGCAGCTCCCATGTATGCATGTGATGCATGTGTGTGCCACGCGACAGCCTTTGCTGCTGTGTGGCTCTTGGCCTTTGCAGGTGGGCCGCATCGTTTTATTGAGGCACCTGGTAGTGCTGTAGTACACCTGTGGGGGCTCGTCGGCGCCCAGGAACCTGCTGAGCCGCCGTTGTGCGTACGTGGATCCTGCGCTCAGCATCACTCCAGCATTGCACCTCCCCGGCGCCACGGCGCCACCCGCACGACATCCCCACCCCTCTCCACGCCCAGGCTGTGGGTGAAGGATGCCGCGGCAGCACTGCACTAAGTTACCACAGCTGCTACCGCATGCACACCACAACCCAGCCGCTCTTCTGCGTCGCATGTCATGCACTGCACCGCAGGGCGCCAAGGTCCCGGAGGCCTTTGTGTGCATCGCAGTGGGGCTGGCCCTCTACTACTTGGTGCCGCGCCCCGCTGAGCTGGACGCCCAGGCCTGGGGCTGCGCCGCAGTCTTTGTCGCGACCATCCTGGGTGCGGGGCGGGAGTTCGCGGCGGCCTCTGTGGAGGTCCTGGGCTTGATGCGTACGAAATCCAGCCCCGCAGCTGCCAGCGAACATCTCGTGCAGGGGCCTCTGCATCGTGTTGAGTCGCACTGTTCGCGGACCTGAGGGGCCCGGACAGCATGCGCGTGCGGCTGGTATGGCGAAGGCCGCCCGCCGTGGGCTTAATGGCATGGCCGTGGGGCCAGGCGTGGCTTTTACTCCATATTCTTGACTTGGGAACTGCCTCCTGATTTTGTAGTCACCCAATCGTCGCCTCTCCCCGGCTTGCCTTCACCTCAATCCCAGGCCTGATCTTGGAGCCGCTCCCTGTCGCCCCCGTTGCTCTGGCAGGTGCGCCAAGCACCAGCCTGCCTTGCACCCTTTGCCTGCCCGGGTGCCACTTCAAAACGCACTCTTGGCCCGCTGCGCAAGTTTCGTTGCACAGCAGCAAATTGCTCTCGCGTCGCCATGCAGCTGCGCCGCACCAGGCGATGGCATCTCACCACCCACTGTCTTGTGGCCACCCTGCATGCCTGCTGCTTGCGCCCCCCCCCCCTCTGGCAGGCGCTGTGGTGGCGCTGTGGACTGGCACCCTGTCTTACAAGCAGCAGTTCTCTGCATTTGGCAATGACACCATATGGCTCATCATGGCTGCGTTCTTCTTTGCAAAGGTAAGTGTTGCGTGGCGTGGGGGAGGTCGCGGGGCGGGTGGCGATCGCGCACCGCCTGTGGTCAGCTCTCCACCCTAAGACCCTGTCGGTGGCCATGCAGGGCGGACCGAGTGTCTGCGGGTCCCTTGCAGCTGGCCCTTCACAGCACCCACAGCAATGCCAAAGGTCAGCTTTCTTTTGAACCCAGCACTCAACTCAGCAACCTCCAGCCCCTGACTGGGCGCCGTGGCTGCGCCGCCTGCCCACGTGCCCACGCCACCACGCCCCCCCCCCATCAGGGCGTGGAGGTGACTGGCCTGGGGGCGCGCGTGGCCGACGCGTCCATCGCCGCCCTGGGCCGCTCCTCCCTGGGCCTGGCCTACGCCCTGGCGCTGGCGGAGCTCGTGCTGGCGCTCTGCATGCCGTCCACCACGGCGCGCGCCGCGGGGATATTCGTGCCCGTCATCGCCTCCCTGGCAAAGTCCTTCGACAGCCTGCCCCGTGAGAGATGATGAGCGGGGTTTCAGGGGGTGGGGGGGCCGCTGATACGTGTTTTAGTTGGTCTGGATGTCGCGCGCTGGATATCAGGCGCCGTGCATAGATGCGTATTTGTGTCTGTGGGGCGGGTGCGCGAGGGATGGGGGAGCTGGGGAGCATCAGAGCAAGACGTGTGACATGTCAGGGTGTAGCTGGCCCCGCTTGCTAAGAATTCCCGCTGACCGGACCTCGGCTCTGCTCCTCCACCAGACCACCCCTCCTCCAAGAAGCTGGGGCGATTCCTGTTCATGAGCCAGGCCCAGGTGAAGGCGCAACCAACAAGTGTTGCTCCTGAGTTGGAGTAGGACGCAGGGAGAGAGGCCCGTCTGTCAATAGTGAAGCTGTCACAAAGGCATGCCGCTGGGGTGGCACACACGCCTGCGTGACACTGCACCAGTCCCAGCCGTTTCAGGTGTGCAAGGTACCACCACAGCCCGCAAATCGCTCGATACCACCGTCCCAACCGTGTCCCGGCCACCTACCCCCATGCTCCTCTGCGCAACCACCCCCCTCCAAGGTGTCTGGTGCCACGTCAGCCATGTGGTACCTGGGAGGCGCCCAGACCCCAGTGGGGGTGACTCTGGCGGCGGAGCAGGGTGTCGTGGTGCCCAGCCCCTTCACGACATACCTCAAGGTGATGCAGCGTGCACACACGCGCATGCATGTCAGACAGCACACGCACACATGCACACACACATGCACGCACGCCTGCGCGCATGCATGCACGCGCGCGTGCGCGCACGCACGCACGTCCACATACACACGCCCAATCTTAACCTCAAAGTCGCCTCACTGCCTGGAGGGAGGCGAGAAGGGCAATGGCAGCAGCTGGCTGGTTCAGCAAGCACGGCAAGTGGCCAGCCGCCGCACCCTGGGACCCACCTGCTGCCTCAGCCGGGGTCCCCTCCCCAAAGCCGTGCGCCACCAGCATGCACTCTCCCCATGCAACATACTCCACCCTGTTTTGTGATCTGCAGGGCTCCTGTGTTCCCGCTGCCGTGCTGATTGCCCTGATCCCCCTGGCGGTTTACTACCTCGTGCCTCCAGAGGTGGGCCTGAGGCATAAGCACTGAGTGATTCTGATCAACAGCGAGGAGTGATGTGGTGATAGTGTTGAGAAGTTACAAGTCTTTGTGCGATGGTGATCGGTGTGCGAAAGTATGCAAGTGTGGGCAAACAAACCCTGCCAAGCGTTCTAGGGGCAAGTGCAGCCGTTGAAGCTGGCTGGTCTGGACAACAAAACCACACAGAGCATTACTTGGGGGTTTCGTGCACATTAGTAGGTGGCTTTCAGCCGGCAGCCTCTCCCTGTGATCGGCTGCGCAGCCTCACGCCTTGGCCTCCCACCAACTAGCACACATCCATACCTGCAACCACCCTGGACTGCCATTTATCCTTTCCCCTCCACCACCCGGCATGGTGGTCTCCCCCAGGTCACGTCGACCCCCTGGGCGCAGCAAGAGGCCAGGGAGCGCCTCAAGGCGCGCGGCCGCCCGTCGTGGCGGGAGGTGGTGACGGGCCTCGTGATGATCGCCGCGGTGGCCCTCTGGGTGCGCTGCGCGCGCGTGCCTTGGTGGCGCCCGCCCGCCGTCAGGAGGCCCCAACACTGGGAGGGCACTGGCTGATGGGCCCCGCCTGCTGGGGCCTGCTGATGGCAGGGTGGCTTCATGGCGTCGGCGCATCTTTGACCTGATCCTGCACTGCATAAGTGGTGGTGGTGGAGGAGGAGGTGGTGGTGGTGGTGGTGGTCCTGCTGCTGCTGCTGCCGCCGCCGCCGCCGCCGCCGCCGCTGCCGCCGCCGCCGCTGCCGCTGCCGCTGCCGCTGCTGCTGCTGCTGCTGCTGCTGCTGCTGCTGCTGCTGCTGCTGCTGCTGCTGTACAACCCTAACCCATGACTAGCATGCCTCAAATGCCACCACATCTTTCACATCGTGTACCCGTCACGCTCACGGCGCGCACACCTCACCAGCCACTCTCAAAACAATTGCAACTGTAGTGCTCCTCTGCGTACCTGCCGATCAAGCTGGCCAACGCCAGCGTCGCCCTCCTGGGGGTGGTGGTGCTGCTGGCCAGCGGGGCCATCACGTGGGACGACCTCGCCGGCCACAGGCCGGCCTGGGAGCTGCTGGTCTGGCTCACGTGAGGGGGCGCGCGGCGCGGCTGAGGGACATCACGGGGAGGGGGGGCGTTGAGTGCAGTGTGCAGGCATATGTCGAAGCTGATATTGTGAAGCATGTGCCAGCTTGAAGCCAGCTAGGCGCGCATTGGTGACTTGGGTGAGGGCAAGAGCTACCAACAGAAAGGGACTGGATTTTTTAATGGGCGGTCTCAACGGCTGTGTTGTTGCAGCAACGCTGCCTTTGCGTCCCTATATCTGCATTGAGGGCAGCTGTTGTTTCGAGTTTTTTTGCACTTTGATGAATTGTGAAACGCCTTTTGGGCAGCAAGCCTAACTCTGTGCTTTCACCCCTGCTGCACCCCCTCCTGGCGCCTGGGCAGGATCCTTTTCTCCATGTGCACAGCCCTGGCTGATTTTGGAGTCATCAAGTGGCTCAGGTGAGGCAGCTGAAGGGGTAGACTGCGCGCGAGGGTGTCAAAGTGATGCCTGGGTGCATTGGTGCGTCCACGTACCCGACTTGGTGCATGTGCAGCTCAAGCACATCGGTGACATACGTCACCCGAGCCGCGTATAATCATGACCAGCGCATGCACTCAGGTGACTTGGAGGTATCACATGATGTACCACTACACATGGCTGGCAAACTCCCTGCACATGCGCGAGTGGACAGCATAACCTGACCTTGCAGGCAACCCACCCTTACCCCATACCTTATACGTCTGTCTTCATGCAGTGCTGCTGTGAGCAAGCCCCTGATGGCCAAGGGCTTCACCACTACACAGCTGTGAGTGACCCAAGGGCCAGTTTAGTGGTCATAACATACGGGGACAACGGAACACGCACTGCCGAGCATGTTGGGGCCGCAAATGTCGCCCTCCCTCACCTGCCCGTTGCAGCCCCTACGCGCCTTTTGCCTGTTCCCCGAACGCTGGGCGCGCTAAACGCGGCATGCGGCGGCAACGTCGGCCCCTCCCTCCCACAATCTGCGTGATGACATCACCTGCCAGGTTCTGGCTGCTGATCCTCATGTATTACGTGATCCACTACGGGGTGGCCAGCCAGACGGCACACGTCACCGCGCTGGTGCCGCCGTTCCTGGGCATCATGGTGGATGCAGGCACGCACACGGGAAATGGCAGCTTCTGTCGTTTTATCGTTTTGGGAAAAGGGGGGGCTTGGCCTACCTGCCTGGCCTCAACTGTGGCTGTGGCGCGCCTGACACATATTCTGCGCCGTCCAGCTGCCTGCCGCGTGTGAGGTCGGAGCCAATCTGCCTACGTATGTTGTGGCCCCCGAAGTTAAGCGATTCGCACTCCTGGGTGGCGTGCTCTTAATTGTTTCTGACGGCTGCTTTTGTGCCCTAACCCCTTGCCCCTCACCTTGCCACAGGCATCGATGGCAAGATGGCCGTGCTGGGGCTGGTCTACGCCACCCACCTGTTTGGTGGCATCACCCACTACTGTGAGCCCAAACCAGTGGCATCGTGGACCAGGGGCACACATAAACTGATTGTGCAATACAATCACCTGGATGACTGCCTCACCTTTGCCCCGCCAGCCTGTGGGCGCGGCTGCCGCTGCCACCCCTCTGCCTGGCGCACACTCCTCGACTCCATGCCTTGGACACCACCTGCGCCACGCATACGCAGCATCCGCCCAAGCTGCGGCTTACTACGGCGCCGGCTACTACTCCACCAGAACCAACATCCTCGTGGGCGGCCTGCTGGGCTTTGCCAGCCTAGGCCTATTCATGGGCATAGGCATGGGCTGGTGGCGCGCGGTGGGCCTGTGGACAAACTGAGGAAAAAGTCACCCAATTCCGGGGGCCTATTCGGCACGTGCCACCCGCGACTGCATGGCCGCCTTGGCGTGAGAGGGTGGCCTCTGCAGATGGAAGTGAGGGCACAAGGATTTTGGTGCGTTGTGGCGCCTGCTCTTGCGCCGTTGGTGGGCCAGCGACCAGTGCGTGAGCCCTCTGTTTGCACAGCCTGGCCCTGGTATCATTAAAATCCAGCGCGAGCCAGCTCCGCTCGCAGCAGGTCGAATTCTGAGCTCACAAGTGGCAGCCTGCGCTGTTGATTGCGAGGCAGAAAGGCAATGGTCACATGAGAGTGTGCATGGCGCCACTGTCGATTGGATAGCCGGCCTCTGGGCCCAAGCCTCCACGCGTAGCAAGCAAATCACTGCTGGCGGCAGCAATTGCGCCATTTCTTTTTGCCATCCTGAGTAGCCTCAAAAATGCTGGCGACACCTGACACTTGAAAACGACAGTGGAAGTAGCAAACCTATTCTAGCACAAGCCCCAGTGCGGTTGCACCCTGCTGAAGTGTTTCAGCTGTGCTGTGATGCAGGCGTTCTTGTTTCAACTGCTGCCGATTACGGCTGGTATTTTTTTGAAACCTTTCTGGGCGCATTGTTCAGTCTGCTCCGCGGCTTTCACCGCATAATTCATCACAGCCTGCAGGCCCTACACTCCAGTAGGCTGAGCCTGCAAGGGAAAAGTTGTGGCATGCCTCTGACCATGAGCATGTGCATCCATGTACAGATGCCCCTCCACTCAGCCGAGCCATCAAGTTGGGCACTGGGGCTGACCGAGCGGGCCCACAGCCCAAATCAGGGCTGACGGCGCTGCGCTTGAAACACGATTGTATTGCACTGCTTGTGCCGGAGGTCTTGGACCCATTCAGGCTCCTTGCAGGAGATGGCGAGGGTGCACCAGGCCGCGATGAGCAGGAGACGATTGCGCACACGGCAACATCGCGGTGATGTGAATGACCTGTGTAAGCTCCCTGGTGCCTGCCGTGTGCCAGAACTAAGCGCCTGTGTGTGCCGCCGCTGATACCAGTGGGAGCAAAGTGGCAGCTCCAAGGTGTTGTGCACTCACCAGTACTGTGCTTGGGAGCGGCACTAGTGACAAGGTGGTTGAAGAGCACGCATGACTGTGCGTGCGTTCACGTGTATGCGTGGCTGACCAGGGGCCCTGTTGTGCGTGTGGAGTCATTCCCTCAGCAGCAGGCAGCTTCTTCTTGGAGAACTGACGTGCTCGAAGCCTGGCAGGCGTTCATCATTCACCTTCTGCTCCACTTCACCGCAGAAACGTTTCAGCTTCATGTGCGGGGCTGACACATTGTGCTGCAGAATTCTGCAGCACAATGCGTCAGCCCGCACATGAAGCTGAAATGCTTCTGCGATGAATGAATGCATCATGGGTGCCACGGCGGCCTGAAGGGTCGCGACAGACGAGGACATAGCAGTTTGAGCTGATGAGCAGCTGCCGGTCGCTTCACGTGCAGTGGCTGTTGTGGACACGCTGGAGCCCTGAGGGTTCCTAGGTCATGCAACGACGACTTGCGGCAATGGGGTCTCTGCTTTGCCAATGGTCTGAGGCTGTAGCCGCAGCGTTAGCAGAACGCGCGAAGACTCACTGTTGCACCGATCTGCCGTCGGTGCCACTTTACCCAATCACTGTCGACCTCGCTCCATACATTTGCAAAGTCTCGGCGCAAGAATGGGCGACACAGCGGTTGGCTGGGGCACTTTCCAAATCCATGGGCGAAATGAAAAGCCCGGCTCGGCGCATGCGGTTGCGGTTCACGATTCAGGTGCGCAATAATACTTTTCGCACTCTCTCGTTGCTGGAGGGCAGCTGAGGCTTGCGGCATGTCCCAGGCGCCGCTGCCCAAGCAGCGATTTGGCGACCACTACGCTGCATGGATGCATGCTAAGCGTCGCGCAGATGGCAAGGAGCCCTTGCATGGGCACATGGAGTGGTTGGGAACACATGGACGCCTGCGCTGCCCTTGGGTCCGTCGTCGCGCCAATGCACGGTGCCTCGACGCACCAAACCAACCTCGCCGGTTCCTCGTTCCCCTTCAGTAGTGATTCAGTCCGTGGACAGCGGCAGCTACCTGGAGCCCCTTGCCCTTACGGCCACGCAGCAGCAGCACCTCCACCACCACCATCTGTCAGCACACCACAACAGCAACAGCGGCTCACCGTCGCAACTGCTGCCGCCGAGCGTGATCGCGGCTTTCCTGGACCAGCAGCGCTGCCCGTCCGACCGAGGGGCGCCGCCGCATAGGAGGCAGTCCAAGGGCGGCAGCGCGGGTGGCAGGGTCGCGGCGTGGCGGCGCGCGTTGGCGCGGTGGGCGCGGCACGTGCTGGTGACCGCGGCGGCGGCGGGCCTGGTGGTGGGCGGCGCTGCGGTGGGGAAGCACCTTCACACCCACTACGTGGTGGGTTGAGCGACTCGCCAGCGGGCGGCATCGTGGCGCTGCTCTTTGCGTGTATTGACAGCCTGGTGCTTTTGAATGGGACGACAGCTCTCACCGCCCAGTTTCTCATGCCTGTCAGTCTAGTGGCTGCAGCAGCAAATTGCTAGGGCAGCGGCCCCAACAGACTATCCTGCGGTCCCTTTGCATGTTCTCCCCATGCGACCCCCTAAACAGGCGACGCTAGACGACCGCGACTCGCTGGCGGCACGCACAGTCGCCCTCACGGCCCAGCTCGACCGCGCCGCCGCCCGCGCCGCCGCCGCCGAGCACCAGCGGGACGGCGCGCAGGGGCGCGCCCGGGAGCTCGCGGCGCAGCTCGACGCGGCCAACGCGCGCCTGGCGCAGCTGAGCGGCGAGGTGGCTGAGCTGGCGCGCCTCAACCTGAACCTGCAGCGGCGCCTGGACAAGGCCGAGTCAAAGGTGGAAAAGGCCGCCTCCGCCAGGGCCGAAGCAGAGGCGCGCGCCGCCGCCGCGGCCGACTCGGCCGCGCGGTGGGAGCGCGAGGCGGGCGGCCTGTGCGAGCGGCTGCAGCGGCTCGAGGGGCGTGGCAGGGTTGTGCTCGGCGCAGCGGTGGCGGCACCCGCGACGCCCTCGGCGGCGGCCGGGGAGAGGCCGCCATTTTGGAAGGCCGCTGGCGGCGCGCACCCCTAAAAACGCCGACTGACCAAGAAGAGAATGATTTTGCTGTTTATACGCTCCCAGCTTCTGCAGCTCCCCGTCCTCTTGTGATGGCGGCGTGCACCCACTCAGCCATCGCTCCTTTTGACAATAATCACATGATGAGGCAGCACGTGTCGAGCACAACAGGCGCGCCCTGCCCGTCCCCAGGCCTCCCCTCACACCCTGCTCCTCCCTGCTGGCGCTGCTTGCGGGCCACCACAAGCGACTTTTGCGCAGCTAGCGCGTGTATCTGTATCTGTATTTCATTTGCGTATTCTTGTGTGCACACACACACGCACACACATATACACACACGAGGCGCACAGCAAGGCATCGCACCCGTGCTGACAGCACACCCCACCAGGTTTAGGCAATCTGCAGGTTTCCGCGGCCCGGCCCAGGCCCCAATGGAATTGGCGCGCCGTCCGCGCGCTATCAGCCGAGTGATATTGTGACGGGCCGCCGCGTGCGCCCCGTTTCCACCAGTCCACGGGATGCAGACGCAACAGCCGCTCCATCATCCCCTGTTTTCAGCTGCTTCCGTCCGCAGTGTGTGGGGCAGCTGGGCTTCCCTCTCAGCAGCCCAGCCTTGATACCCCATTCCAGTAAAACAATGTCATGACTGAATCCTTTTGCGGGGGTTGGCACAGAATGGCGAAATGCCTTGGCTGGGATGCTTTTGGCTCTGCTCTGGGCTTGTGGCCCGCAGACAGCTTCATATGGCAACGCAACACGAGTGTCTCTTGTGTGGCGGCCACACAGCGACCGCATTGCAACTGCAGTATCAAGCTCCAGGCTCCTTCAGCACTGCAGCGCGCTGTGGCCACAACGTGGTGCTTGTGCCATGGCCGTGAGCAATGTTGCTCAGCGGGTGAACAAGAAACAGCTGCCAACCGACCTTGCCCAAAGACAACGGTTACGGGAATGCAGTCAATTATGCAACAGCCTTGGGAGAACAGAATCTGCAGCAAATGAAGGCAGTGACGCCTACAGTATCGAACCAGCCAGCTGCCTGGTGCGATTGCGGCGG